TTCCTGCTTACAGTTCTGCTCCCACCCGGAGCTGGTTACCTCTACTCAGTCTGCTGACAGTCATCCGAGAGCTGGGCCAGTGACCTTGTGAAGTGAAAAGCCTAAAACCAGCTACAAATTAGCTGTTGAGTGACTTCAGCAATTGCTTATTGCTACTGAGATAAGTTAGGATCTCTGCCTACTCTCCTCAGCCACACCTAAGAGGACACAGAGGACAGGTACACACTTCTGAATCACCATGCTTATTATTTGGAAAAGAAAACTAACTGCCCTCTTCAGTCTGCTTTGCAGGTTATTTACATGCCCAGTTCTTAGTCTTGTTGACTTCTTGTTCCCTGAGCACTGACCTCAACACAGAAATGAGGTTGGGAATGAGAGCAGGCAGCTGTTTAGCCCTCCAGAATGAAGGTCAGCAGGGAGGTGTCACAAATTTCCTTCAGGGGCCCCATTTCAGACCTGGTTTTACTACAGGTTTTCCATTTCTCTGAGCCGCAATCCCCAGCCTGACTATCCTGACATTGGTAAGTAACAATTTTTATTGCCTTGGGCTGCTGCCCCTGTGAGGATGGGGAGCTGCATGATAGCTCAAGGTGGAAGGGCCTTTGCACTGGCAGAAGTGTCCCAGTTAGCATGAAGTCACTAGCCAGCCATGGAAGAACCATTTTTCCTTCTTTCTGAGGCTGGGTGTAAAAGCATTTTCAGACTCTGAAGAACAAAACCTACAGGTGTGTGTTTGAGGGAGAAGGGAAGGGAAGAGGCTCTCAGCTGTGCAGGAAGCCTGAGCCAAGCTGCAGGATGTTTTCAGCCCTATATGTGATCTGTCACAGGACACACGCTGGCAGCCACCGCTGCCTTCCTGAGCGCAGAAGGAGTGAGTGACTGGTGGTGTGTGCAGGGGGGGCTCTGTTTCCCAGTGCGGGGGCATGAGAAGCTGTGTTCAAATGCAGGCTGCCTGTGTGGAGCCTGCATCTCTGACCCTGTTTGCTTATGGCTTTTCTGGTAGGTTCTTAAGAGCCAAGCACTGCAGCAGAAGGTTTATACGTTTAGGCGAAGGGTGTCCCTCGAAGAGAGGTGCAGGAGTACAGCCCCAAGCGCAAAGAAAGTGAGGAGGTGAGGTCAGGTGTGCATGGGAGATGGTTTTGGTGGGGGGGGAAAAATACCGAAGGAGCCCTTGTGCAAAAGAGTCCTGTGAAATGTGCTCTGCTCAGAGTACAACTAACCCAGTGGAGACCTGGGGAAGAGGGGGAGGAAGCTTTTGGATGTAGCAGCAGCCTGGGAAAGGAAGTGGGAATCTCAGCCAAGGAGCGTGTGTGTGTGTGTGGGGGGGAAGTCAGTTGACACCTGCAAACTGGAGATGCCTTGGGAGAAATGCTGCACACAACAGAAACTTGTCACTGCTCCCCTCTCCTGTTCCCAGTCGATTCCAGACATGCAAACCGCTTCCAGCCTTCCCCTTCTGGTTCTCCCAAGGAAGGAAAAGAAAGAACATAAGGTCCAGAAAGTCAAATGAACTTCCTTGTTTCTGCTGCGAAGGAAGGATGTAGGAGGCCCTTGCCAGGAACAGGTTGGGAAGGCAGCTGGCGTGGGGAGAGAAGGGGTGGAGAGCTGGGGTTGGGGATGTCTCATCCCACTTCTAGTGAGAACCTGGTCAAGTCTCCTGCATTTTATAAACAGGCTGGTTTGGTTTCCACCACGTGTTCTCACATCTCCAGCTTATGGAACTGAGAAACAGGAGCCTCGAGTGGCAAAACCAGCATCTTAGTCCAAGCTGATGTTTCGAGCTGGCTGTGACTGGCACAGAAAATCAGATGGCGGGACAGAGCCTCCCCACCAAGCCCTGTGCTTGAAGGAGCCTTGCCAGAAGCCATGATCACCTGCTATACACTTTGCTTTCTGTTGTATGGCTGTGCTCGGCCCCAGTGTGCAGCTGTGGGGCCACA